AATTGTAATAAGATTAAAAATAATAAGTAAAGAAAATGTGAATTTCAATTATTTTTTTAATTAATAAAAAAATTAATTTATATAAAAATATTAATTTGACACTTCCAAATTTTTTATCCAAATTCTGTCACTTTGTAGTGAATTGTTATTATTGATATAGAAACTACATATACTTGTTTATGAAAATTTAGAGTTTGTAAATTAATATTTAGGGTTTATGATATTTTGAATTCATGATGAATTCTAAACATGCTCTATATGTGCATCTTTCTCATCTGTCTTGAGACTAGAATAATTGCTTTAACAAATTATTCTGATTTTTTCATGAAAATTTGTTAATTTTCCTCTCTCTCATAATAACATACCACGTAATTTAGTACTTTGGAGAGATGATATTATCATGAATTTCAGATCAGGAAGTACAAGCCTACCATACCTTCTTCTAGTACCCTTCAATTGAATGACTTAGAAAAGAGGAAAGAAACACGAGTCTTGCCTTCACACACAAAAGGGTGTGTGATCTGTTTTTGGCAATTAGACAGTTAGCTCAAAGGTAACGAACTTAACTATACCTAGCAAAACGCTGACTTTTCACTAACCCTAGCTACTACAACAAACAAAAACCCCATAACATAACCACATGCACACACTAAGCAATGTTCATTTAATGCCCTTCACCTTATTCCAATTCTGGTTTTTCCCTGTCCCATTTACCTTACCATATGGTCAGAGAAATAGAAATTCATGAGGTGAGGAGCTATATATGATGGATGTGGATTGAAGGGTCCTTAGCTCCCACTAAACCTGAAAGCTGCAAACCCACCTACTCACTTTAGATAATTAGAGGGTAAATAAATTACTCCTACGTAGAGAAGTCTAATTAAGATGTTAGACTTAAGCCCAAGGAGCATTTATTTGCCCACTATATAGTGAATATTTTTTTTATTAAAAAGTATAGGAAGGGTATAAGATATATAGGGATAGCTTTCTAGTTAAAAATAAATATTTATCCTATAAATTTTTCGACATAACTTAATTTTATAAAATTAATTTATAATGTAAATTATATATTTTATTTTAACTATATTTCTAATTGAAATGGGGTTTGATTTTTTTAATACACCAAATATTGTTGGAGTTTGTATTGGATAAATGGTGGATAACTCTTGAATAGATCTATGGTAAGTTTTAATACTATATTAGAATGTGAGTTTTGGGATTTAACTTAATCTTACACAATTAATTTGTAATGTAATAGTTACTATCTATTTATATACTTTATTTTAACATTTGTTATTAATATAATTCAGATAATCATACGTCCAATTACATCGTCAGTTAGATTGATACATGAGGTTATTTCATACATGGATCAATATTTTTCATTGCTCAATATTTATTTAAGTTAATCATCTAGTTGAACCGTCATCAATTTTGCTACTCATACTTGTTAGGGAATATAAAGGTGATTAAGTGTATATATATATAT